TTTAAGCTGCACTGGTAAAATCTGCCAAGGTAAGAGCGGTCCAGTGCAAAGCTGCAGCAGGGTTCGTGCCAGTTTATTGCTGTCGCAGCCCACACGTTCGCTTGATACGATCGCAGAGACACCAAATGCCACAAGAATGTCAAACTCGGTCTTTACAGAGACAACCACCACAGAGAGGAAATGCGACAGCACCACAACAACAGGTGATGAGTGTGCTGGAGGAATCCCACTCTGTGTCCAAATCAAAATGGGGCTGTCGAGAAGAAGGGGGGGAAAAGGGATTTACGGCTGCATGTTTGCAACATGCTTTGTTTAGTATTCTAATCAGATTTTAACCTGAGAGCATCAAAGAAAGCATGATACTTAAGATAACAGCAGCAGGGAAAAGAAGCTGTTCCACGAAGACAGAAAAAGGGTAAAAGTGTAAAACCAACAAATCAACAGTTTTGGGGTGTTAGGTGTCAGACCATTTCTTGGTACCAGTTTCCCAGCAACCGGCGAAGGCTTCAGGAGGTTGCTGCTCCTAGCCATGTATTCCCAATAAAGCAGCAAATTGACATTTTTACCGTTTTCATTATTGCATGGAAATTGTAAAGAAAAATAATGTTTTTTGAGGTATTTTTTTGTGAATGTTGTCACCTTTGAAAGGACAATTAGTTTGGTTTTTATGATATGAGGTCCGCACCTTTATTATTTTTATTCTAAAATTTTGAATTTCAAAATTTGCTGTGTATTAAGTCGTTATTAATCATCAATACTTAAACTGAATTGTTTATTTTTGTTTTAATACAGAAAATAGCAAACCAAAAAGATATTAAGGCTAACTTTGGATCAAATCATGATTATTATGATGCATTTAAAAAGCCAATAGGAAGTGAAATCCATGTTTAATGTCAGGTTTCAGCTCGATTTCCCCTCTTTGTTAAGATCTTTGCTGATTCCCACCCTCCTCTGATAAGTCTGCAAAGCCAGACATTTAATCTGCACATGCTTTTAAAAATAAACACGGTGGTCTGGCACCAGAATAATTAAGTCCAGATAGAATTTGTTCATTATGATCATAATTCCATTTTCCTTTTTTCTCAAATTAACTTGTCATTTGTTTATATTTCCAAACCTTCTTGTGATATTGGTCATCCACTTTTTGCTCTTCAGGAGAAACCTGACTGAGTTTCCAAACCGGTAATTTATATGTGTCCTTTGTCGGGTGTATAAATAGTCCCAGAGCTATAGACTTTCTAGCCTGATGAGTAAAAAAATCTCACATTGCAGACAGAAGAAAAGGTTATATTTAGAACGGAGGGAGGAAGGGCAGCAGCTGTGATGTAAGATATCTGAAAATGGAAAGTGCTCCCAGGGGTGACAGTGCTTAAATTATTTATTTCCCCCTATAATATACCTCAGACGACAGCATTGTGGGGGCAAAGACCACACCATATGAGGACCATTGACGTCTCAGCAGCTCACGGTGCTAATGAGTGTGTCTAAACCTTGGCCTTGGTCCGATCCCCCTGCAGACAGCAGCTCTGTGCATAATGCTAATCAGTTGCACCAAAATTTAATTCCACATCATCTGGCATTTAAAAGCTGCTTTTTTTGATTATCTATTAAATACATTTTCTGAAAAATGCTCAAAGTTCTGCATGCAAATCATAATCTGATAGATTATCAAGACTAAAGAGAGAAGATCTAAATAACAGATAAACACACCATTTGACGTGGTGACGGCGATATGTGCTGTCTCATAACAGCCACCTCCATGTGCCTTGTAAACAGCACATCCTAAGGGAGTGAGAAGCCAATCACAGGTGAGAAATCACTGCTGGCATTGACAACCGGAGTCTTGAAACGTCAGGTGTTTGGATGGGTACAAAAAGTGATTAGTCCCATCTCAGAGCAGCGGGGAAAAAGAGTAAAGGGGTCAAAGAACCAGTGTGTGACTGTGAAGCTTGCGTGAAGGAAGAGGGAAAACACACCACCTTCTAAAGCTTTTCCTTATAAAATCCATGAAATCCTTGGTGTCATAGTGGGAATGTTGTGAGTCTGATTTACCTGTTCCTTGCAGTGCTGAGAACATCACTGTTCTCATTAGAAAATGCCTCTGTGCTGTCTCATAGCAACCTAAAAATAGAAATGCCCATATTAGGCTCTATAGCAGTGACGGCTGTTACAAGTTTTGCCCTCTTTAATTGAGCCATGTAAACAGTTGCAAAATATATATCCTTCAATATGTTGAGGAGGGAGACGCGTGTTGAGTTGAATCAATAACGAGGAATTAACTGATCTTTGAAACTTATTTTTCTAGAAATGAATATTTGAGTGATTCTCATTTTCTGTAAAACACATTGATGCTCAATATATTTGCTGTGACCTTCGATTCATGTTGTTTAAACAAAAAGTGATGAAATGCATAAAAATATATGTATTCATGATTTGTGACGGATGTGTGTTCCCATGATCCAAAAAGCCTCAATATACAACACCAAAAAAATGTTGCCACCTAGATTTACCTAAGCAATGGGTAGAAGCCTCCTATTGGATAATTACTGCATGGGTGATCATCTTTCAGTTGGCAACAAGTAATTTAACCCCAACTGGTGAAATGAGTTGCTTCTCATTTCTTAAACAACCATGTGGACACATCTGATGGTCATGGAAAAGATGTTAGTCTGTTTGAGAAGGGTCAGATTGTTGGCATGCATCAAGCAGAGAAAACATCTAAGAAGATGCAGAAACGACTAAATCTGGGTTAAGAACTATCCAACACTTTATTATAAACTGGTCTGATGAGTTCAGATGGACCCTGTTCCAGATTGATGGTGCATCAGGGTAAGAAGAGAGGCAGATGAAGCGATGCACCCATTATGCCTAGTGTGTACTGTACAAGCCTGTGGGGGCAGTGCTATGATCTGGGCTTGCTGCAGTTGGTCAGGTCTAGGCTCAGCAACAGGATGTGCTCCAAGAATGAGGTCAGTTGACTACCTAAACATTCTGAATACCCAGGTCATTCCATCTTCCCTGATGACACGGGCATATTCCAAGATGACAATGCCAGGATTCATTGGGCTCTAATAGTAAAGAATTGTTCAGGGAGCATGAGACATCAGAATCACACATGGATTGGCTACCGCAGAATCCAGGCCTTAAGCCCATTGAGACTCTTTGGGATGCGCTGAAGAAGGCTTTGTGCAGCGGTCAGACTACCATCATCAATGCTAGATCTTGATGAAACATTAATGCAACTCTGGATGGAAATCTGGTGACGTTACAGAAGCTTATCGAAACAATGCAACATTGAATGTGTGTCGTAATCAAAGCTTAATACGGTCCAACAAAATATTAAGAGGGTGTGACCTTTTTTTGGTGGCGACTTTCTTTGGATGGGCAGTGTGTGTTTGCATCATGACACTTAAAACTGCTATAATTATATTTTCTGAGTCATTCAACATATAAAGTTGTATTTACAGTAAGATACTTAAGTTTTACTGACATTTTACCCCATCCTGTGGAACAGCAGTAGCTCAGGAGGTACAGCGGATTGTCCATGTATTGTCCAAAGTATGATTGCAGGTTAGCTCCTGGCTCCAGCCAGAGAAGGCTGCTGTTGTGTCCTTGGGCAAGACACTTTTAACCCACCTTGCCTGCTGGTGGTGGTCAGGGGCCGGTGGCACCAGCGTTCGGCAGGCCTTGCCTCTGTCAGTGCGCCCCAGGGCAGCTGTGGCTACATCGTAGCGTGTGAATGACTGTGTTGTGAAGCACCTTGGGGGGGTGAAGAACCCTAAGAAGACGAATACAGACCATTTACCATCCATCACGCCCACAAAATATTTACCTTTTTTGCTTCAGGTAAATGATTAAGCAGCCTCAACGCCCGAACATCAAGGCCGAGGAACAGCTCCTATGAACTTTGACCCTTAAGCTGTCATCTGCTCTTTACAGAATTTGTTTTAGATATAATTTATTTTACTTTACATTACATCATTGCCCCCCCCCCCCCCCCCCCCCACACCCCCCAACAAGCTGTTGGATGACAATAAATCAATCTGAAATCTAAAGTTTGACTAAAGATTCTGAATATAAAGAACACAAAAAATTGGCTGACTCTTTAGCAGGATTTTAAAAATAGTTTTGTTCAATTGAGGAGTGCACATGTGCCAGATACAATGAAATGAAATTTACGACTTGGACAACTTGTGCTTCATGTAATCAATGGGTGCAAAAATTTGCATTGCTACTGAACATGTTAGATGCTCTCCTACACTGAAATTGTTAAATTACCGTTTCAAATTCGACAGAAGTCTCTCTTAACTTGACTCAGGCACACTTCATTGACTCGACAAACATTTGCTCTGATAAAACAAATTTAAAACCTTTATTGTATTTGTTCTAATCTTTAATAAACATAAGATTTGTTTTAAACAATATATATATTAATTGCCTGAAAACTAGCAAAGAGAATGACCACAAATCTCAAATCATGCATGCAGTCATATTTCATTTATTTGTTAGAAAAAGAAATCGTAAATAAATGTGCAGATGTTCCATCAAATTATTTAAGTTTCCTATTTTGATGTAAGATTCCTATCAAATAAAAAAAAAACAAAAGCAACACATTTCTACAGGATTACCTCGATTAAAGGCTTAAAAACAGAATAAATCTATTATAGCCGTTCTCTTCACCACGCAAAATAAATAAATAAAATCCTGTCTTATAGCATATTTTCACAACAACAATCTGCATCTACTGCCTTAAACGTCCCTCTGAGATCTTATTTATAAATTGCATATTTGAAATGATCAAAAATAAGCTCCACACACCCAGCACAAGAGCATGTCTTGAGGAGGCGGCGCTCGTTTTGTTTGCGTCCTGCAGATATTAAGATCAGGACAGAGGTTTTTCATCAGACGCAGTTTATTTCTGTCGACGCTGACGTCAAGAGACAACACGTTTCATTCAACAAGCAAGAAACTAAGTTATTTATAACCCGCCGCATCTCCAGGTTGGGATCCTTGAGTGCGCAGTGAAAGGAATACTCCCCATTGGACTGTTGTAGCGCGCGCCTCCATAACAAAAGCCGCACGGCTCGTGTACGCAGGTGACAGAGGCACGGCGCGCTGTCACCCCAAATACGCGTCGATGGGAGCAGCAGCGGCTTGAAAAACACGAGGAACTGCTACAAACTTTGTGTTCTTCACCGTTTATTTTCGCCTCCTCCCGGTTTCGTCTTCCTCAGATGACACCGGGCTCCCTGCACATGGAGAACCTCGTCCCTGAACAGGTAAGATAATAAACAAACCAAGTTTTTTTTCTTCTGAAAACTGCAAAATGGTTGGAAAATGAAGGTCAAAGAACTTTATGTCCTTGTGTTACATCTTTGCTGGAGGAGGGCGCTAAATTGCGTTAAACCCTTAAGATTTGACATGAAAATGAAAGGATGGATGACTACTGTTTACCTTATAGACAAAATTTATTTAAGCCGAGTCAAATTAAAACGCTGATTTTATTGGGTTTATCTTGAACGAGATGCAGCAGTGGCGTGCTATTATTTCATGTGACCAGATGTCTGAGTTTTAAATGTAGATACAAAACGTGACATGCAGCCCCAGATACATGTTTAATCCAACTAAAAGAGAAAAATAAATCCCAACTACTGCTGTTTAGATGAAGGCGATGCTTTCTAAAGGATTAAAGAAAAATATATGTGATGTGATTATGTATACATTTTTATCTGCGTTAAGTGTGAGAATAATATAGAAATAAAGATAACATAGATGTGTGTGTGTGTGTGTGTGTGACATATGCAGTTTATATATATATATATATATATATATACATATACGTATATATATATATATATATATATATATATATATATATATATATATACGTATATGTATATATATATACGTATATGTATATATATATATATACGTATATATATATATATATATATATATATATATATATATATATATATATATATATATATATATATATACACTACAAATCTTATGAATACACTTTATTTCCCAGAATTTTAAGATAGTAAGTTATAATCTTTAAAGTGTAGCAGGCTGCCATCTGCTGGTGTGCTAAATAAACAAAACGTTTAAAAAAAAAACAAAGTTTGAATCCTAATAACCAGATTTTATTTGCTAAACCAATTCTACAATTTGTTCAAAGGGCTGCAAGCTGTAACTCCAAACCAGACAGGATCTGTGACCATTTGGGAAATGGCAGACATTCTGGAGCTGCGCACGGATGGGAACTCGCTCCTGAAGGCGGTGTGGCTCAAACGCTTGAGACTCACCAGGCTTCTGCTGGAAGGAGGTGCATACATCAATGAGAGCAATGAACGAGGAGAGACACCGCTCATGGTGGCCTGCATGTCGACGCACTCTGACTCGCAAAGTGTGAGCAAGTCAAAGCTAATCAAGTACCTACTGGACAACCAAGCAGACCCTAACATCCAGGACAAAGCAGGCAGGACAGCTCTAATGCATGCCTGCATCCATAAGGCAGGACATGAAGTGGTGGATCACCTTCTGAGCAATGGTGCCGATCCGAGTCTGGAGGACAGGAGTGGCGCCTCTGCACTGGTCTACGCCATCAACGCGGATGATAAGGAAACGCTAAAATTACTCTTGGATGCATGCAAAGCTAAAGGGAAGGAAGTAATCATCATCACCACTGACAAATCACCATGTGGCACTAAAACCACCAAACAGTATTTAAATGTACCCCCATCTCCAGAGTTGGTTGAGAGGTCTTCCTCAGAGTACTGCGCCTCTCCTTCTGATATTGAAGTTAGTGCATCTCCCACATCTGGGCAAGAGCCACAAAACACTGTCTTTAGTTTCCAGACAAAGCTAAAGTCATCTAGCGCAGCTGCAAAGCTAACAAACGGGCCGTCATCTCCAACACGCCGACCTGCGAACCCAAAGCGTGCGCGTTTGCCTCAGCTGAAGCGGTTGCAATCAGAGCCCTGGGGGCTGATTGCACCATCTGTCCTGGCTGCCGCCGCCCATGAGGAGAGTAAGAAAGCCAGCTCTGATGAGGATGTAGTTGCAGGGGTGAACGGTCTCTCTCTGAGTAAGAGGTCAGCTTTGTCCCGACAGAGCAGTGTGGATGGGAAGGACAGCTTGTTCCCACTGGTGGGTGAACAGCCCTGCAAAATGACAACCTCAATATCAATCCCCCCAACATCTAAACCGTCATACGAGAGAACCCTCAGCCAGCACCAGCCACTGGCTCGCCGCAGCACGGTTCCTGCAGAGCAGGAGAGCAGCGGCTGCAGCAGTGGACCAGTCAGCCTGAGAGACACGATGCATAGGAGGCGTCTAGGAAACGATCACTACGACTCGGATTCACAGCTCTACTCAGACTCAGCTATGTTAGACTCTCCTAAAGTCCCTGTGGAGCGAAGGAAACTAAACACTTCCCCGCTTGCGATGCTTACAAGTTCCAGAGAATCTCTTGACAGCAACGCAAGCACATCCTCTCCGAGTGCAGCGCGAAGGCGGGGCCCCGGGCTCCTGGAGAGGAGGGGCTCGGGCACGCTTCTGTTGGACTACATCTCCCACACCCGGCCCGGCCACCTGCCCCCTCTTAATGTCAACCCAAACCCCCCCATTCCAGACATTGGAACTAGCACCAAGCCCTCTTCACCTCTGTCCACAGGTATTAAATCTATCGCTCCAGTAGCACCAAACACACCAAAGACAGGAGGCCTCAAGTCGAAGAAGAAACTTATTAGAAGGCATTCTATGCAAGTGGAGCAGATGAAACAGCTTTATGATTTTGAGGAACCTGCTCATTAGTTTGTCACAAAGTTAACTCAGCAAATACTGTGGTAGTAGAAATGTATACACCATAAAGTCAGGAAGTACATCCATAGTTTCAGTTGTGTTGACTCACAGCTAGCTAGATGTTGAATAATGTATAATTTATTACAAGAAAAAATATATTGAAACTGAGCAATATAGATAAGTTTCTTCCCTGAGTTCCAGCCAGACTTACAGATTATTATTTATTTTATGACTTTGCAACATTGGTTGTACATTTAGTACTTTAGAATGTAAATGCCACAACAAGGTACCCTTTCCTTTGAACCGTCTTGTCTTACATGATCATGTAATACGTAGGAAACATACAGGGTTCATTTGTAGCCAGCAGGCCACTTGAGTGCACTTTGTGCATTATGTGCACCATCGATGGATTTTATCTGGAAAAGACATACGGAGTGATGCACTTGTCTGACATGTAGCTTTGAGTGAGGTGAAATTTGACTGTTTGTAGCAATTCTGTGCAAAGTGCCTTCAAGAAAAAGAAACATGGACAAAAGAGCAGACATTTGTTTTATTAGGGCCGTTTTAATTCATGTTGATGGTATCAACATGTGTTTAATTTCAACGTTGTTTGTCTAACGTAAAACAAATAAAGTAAAAATGAGAAAACACATGATGTGAGTTATTATTGTTTATTTAACAGGTGAAACAAGCAATGATGTATTTGATTTTTTTTTCAAAGGAGGTAACAATCAAAATGCACCAATAATAAGGTAAACTACTGTTAAATCACGTGTCATTTCCAAAGTGATATTTAATATCATTTAAATGATTATATCAGCTAATATTTTTAATTTCTGTTTGAACAACCTTACTTGAAAGTTTTATTTGAAGTATTAAATAACATCATACACTAATTTACATAAACATTAGTAAACTATCATATATTTTTATGCTAATGGTAACACAAGAATCAAGCAGGAAAAGTAATTAAAAAATAATCCACAATGTTTTTGGAAGTAGTTTGTTCTAGTGCAGGGCTATTCAAGTTCGGGCCTCAAGGGCCGGTATCCAGCACGTTTAAGTGATTTCTCTGGTCCAGCACACTAGATGAGTGGTTGAGTCACCTGTGCAGCAGCTCGTCGGGTTCTGCAGAAGCCTGTTAAACACCTGCTGATTGAAATCAGATGTGTTGAAGCAGGATTAAAACTAAAACGTGCTGGATCCCGGCCCTCGAGACCCGGGAATTGAATAGCCCTGTTCTAGTGTCTAGTTAAAGGTTGACTCGGAACACAAACACCACAGCGACATCTAGGGTGTGGAGGCTGTAGCCGCAACAATGAAACAAGGTTTCCAACCGTCGGGATACCCACGTTCACATGAAGTGATTAGCCAGCACCATGTCCAGTGACATGGTACATGTATTTTACAGCAGTATTTAACTTTAGAACATCTGGGCTCAGTACCAGCACTTGTCGAGTCCGAGATTTTCCACAGTGCCAGCCTCACTGCGCCGAGCGAACTGTTTACCGTATTTGGCAACCCTCATGTTTGCCCTCTATTGGATGGTAGATGTAAACATTAACCCATTGCCATACCCGTCAAGAGAAATATTTCATTATATTTGAATTAAAATTTAGCTTTTAAAGGAAATACTGTACCTTCGTTCTGCATACCTCTAAATGCTCCGTAAAGGTAGGATTTTTTTTCAAATATAGCTTTTTATTAAACTGTTCCATATTCAACCTTTAAATGTCTACTTCTTACGTTTTGTGTGATTCCAGAACGAGCACCAACACATCCTATGGTCTGGTGAGAACAACGACCGTCATCATCAGTGTCACTGAGATTGTGTCAGACCAACCATAGCGGCACTCAGATCCCACAGCCTCTTAGCAGCTTCATCATCCAGTCCCTGAGGGGCAGCAGCTTTACGGGCACAGTCACTGTAATCAGAGCAGAATTCAGCGTTAAACACACAACTAGATGCACACGAGTACACATGAATAAGTTATTTATTCAGGAATGATGGAATTACAAGTGGCAGCCATGGGGTAATTTACAGGGTAATAAAGAAATATTTGTCTAGGATAATGATGGTTATTCAGGTTGCTCGTTTTTATGAGGCCTTTCATATTTATTAACTACATTTATCACTGGAAGCGAGATGGATTTCCCCCCCTGACAGAACAGGATTTAATCAATATGTTGTTTGTTCACTACATTATAGTGAGTTTATTAGATTTAGAGATAGCACAGATCTAAATGTGTTAATGAAGTGTAAAGATCTGGGCCTTCTAAATTGGCAGAGGAATTTAAACAGGGAGAAAAATAACTTTAGATGTCAACAGCAAAATTCAACCAGAAACTGAACTATAAAAACCATTAGAAATTAGATAGCAATGGTATATTATATTATATTATATTATATTATATTATATTATATATTTAAAATCTTTTTGAAATTGTACCAGGGCTTTTAAAAGGTGAACCCTGAATCACATCAGTTCTCTAACAGCTGCATAATGAAGAACAGGTCGCTTGTAGTCACTTCTAACCACCTCTGTAATGTCTCTGACTTCTACAAGGTCTTTAAATCCATTTCAGATAATTGCTTCTGTTTTCCAGCCCACAGCTTGCTCTCATCAGCTTAGCAGGCAGGGAGCTATTTTCTGCTAAGAAAGCTGTGTTGAGCTCATTGTACCTGCGCTAGAAAGCACCAGATAGTTGACAGACAGCGTTAGCAACTAGCTAGTGATCACAGGGTAGTGTTCAGCAACTAAAATGAGATAAAAATCCCTTGGGAGTGAGTTGAGAGCAAAACAAGAGATAAAAGGACAGTGGATATTCAACATGGCAAGGGACATGACTCCAAATGAATGTTAATGTAGCTCAGTGGATGTTTTAGATCAACAGTCTAATGCGTTTGATCAAAAGCCTGACATTAGGCTGACTGGAAGCATCATAAGTGATTCAAAACAAACACAATTTCATGTTCTGTGATTTCACATCCACTTACAAGTGTACTTTCAATGCCACGGCAATTCCTTTCCCCATGTTGCACACATAAAGAAATACTCCACTAAGTGATGGGCAGCAAAATACTGAATGCAGACGAGAAGACTTAGAAATGTTCCAAACTCATATTAAAACACACTCCAATGCAATAACACACAAAATGCTAGGATACAAACAATATGCTATACGCTACGATGTGATCCAACAAGTTACGATACAATATATAAGAAACAATATGACACAATACACTATGCCATGGCAGGATACAATATGAGGCAACATGCTCTGATATAAAACAAGAAGCTACAATATATTACACTACTATATGATACAATAAGCAAAGATACAATATGAGACAATATGCTATGATGTAAAAGAACATGTTGCAATGCACTACGCTAAGATATGACAATATCTATTGTAAAGGGTTTAATTTACATGCTATTTAATGAACCATGAGACATGAGATTCCATAGAAAATATGAAATCAATCTGATGGATCTTTGGGTAATTTCAACCAGAAGATTGGAACTTTTTATTGCAGGGATTATGTAACACTTCGTATTGACTGAGAGACAACAGAAGAGAGTCAAGTTTTAAATGTTTAAAGATTTATAACTAAACAAATTAAAACCAGACTAACTTTAAACACTAAATGTGTGGTGTAACTAAGGTGAAGTGAGACGGAGAATGGTGTAGTGTGGAATGTTGTTCAGAACCAGCAAATCCGAAGAAACGATTAGTTCTGATGGGAGTGAAGGTGATGTCTTCACGCTAAGCTTTGATTTGGAGGTTCATAAACACATAAGATGCCATTTTTGGCGCTCCACACATACCCTTAGAATGAGATCTCCGTACGATCCAGAATACCAGGTCCTCGAACCCCTCTTTCGGTACTGGAGCCAATGAAACAGCGTCAGCAGTACGACAGACTAGTCTTTGGATTATCTCCAGGTAAAAAGCGACAGTTGGTTGACAGCGTCAGATGGACCCAGAGGGTCAGTGAGTTCAGCTTTTATTCTGAAAGGAACCGTTGCTTGGTTGGTAAAATGCAACAGATTTTATCCAGCTTGTCATTGGTTCTTTTGGCTGAAGAGGAAAGTTACGGATTGGCCACTCCGACAACTTCTCTAGAACGCTTTGAACTGGCGTTAAAGATGACGTGGGCAGTTTTATACTTTGGATGTTTTGGTTTATGGTCGAATGAAAAGATGACAGATTTACCAAGCACCACCAAAACCACGCCTCCGTCAGATCTGGCAGATTCTGATTGGATCAGTAAAAGCAATGTGTCATGTCTTAACGCTACGTGTGACCAGTCTCTAGTGGAAACATTTAAAGTTATATTACTTATTATATTCTGTAGGATTATGATAAAGTTATTAATATTTTCATTTCACAAATTGGTTCACATTTTATTTTTGACTAACACTTTGTTTGATTAGCTTATTAAAAATAGAGTTCTTTGATTTATTAAAAAGGAAGAGTCCTTTGTCTTCATTCTTCTCTTGGGCTGGAAAGGAAAACAGTTTAGGAGCAAATGCATGAGACCTTGAGGCAATATCTCATGCAGATTAGTTCTTGCTGAGGAGAGGGGGAAATGACTTTTAGGTGGAAAACTGTCATTCCATTCCGTTACACTATTATATAAAATAATATGTTGCAATGTATTACGCTACAATAAATTATGATACTTATGCTTATGCTTCTATTCAATATGCCAATGGTTCCCAGCCTGTAGTCTGTGACTCCCCAAAGGGTCCCCAAAAGATTGCAGGGTGTCCCCACAATTTTCTCTGTGCTGAGCTTGTAAAAATTACATTTATAAAATCCAAATTACACAAATTATATAAAAATGAAAAGTTTGTCTAAGAGTTATACCTCTGTATGTCTGTATTAAGTTTGTAAAAATCACTTTTAATGCTTGTATGTGGGAGTGAGTTGGGGTTAGGTGGCCCTTGGCTTGTCTTGGACACAGGCAAGGGGGTCATCAAGGAAGAAAAGAATGGGAACCCCTGCGAATACGCTATGATTCAATTGCAATACAGTATGATACAATACAGTGTGTTACAATAAGATACAGTACAATACAACACAGGAATGTATACTATGATACCATAAAAACCACTGTGATACAATACATTACAGTAAGATGCACTACTCTGTGCTACAATATGATACAATACACCACGATATGATACAATATGCAATGATACAGTACAATATGCTACACTAAGATTTACTACTATTATATGATACAACACAATATGCTATGATGCCAAACCTACGCTACGCTACGATACATTATGCTATGATTCAGTAAAACACAATGCACAGGTGGTGGTTAAAATGGTAAAAATATCCCATTAAAGCATCACAATTTTATTTTACAGTAAATTCACTATTATTATTCTATATGTTTTATCAGAATTTATATTCAGTTCAATATTTTTTGGGTGGGGGTTTAAACTGTTACACTGGACAACACAACAACCATATTTCCATCTGTATAAACATCCTTAAAATAGTTAGCACAGAAACCGCTTGGCCAAATAACGTTTCTCAACAGACTGTAATCAGTTGGTGCAACTTTGCAATAATTAGTGTAACATATAGCACCTACATTAACAACATAACACCAGTTGAAGTGGTAGAAAACATAGTACTAGTGTGAGACTAACTAATGCATTAACAGCATATACTGATTAGCATTAGCATTATTTACATTTAATCATTAGCAGAAAAATTACATGTAAACAATGCAGCTTTTTCATAGCGAGAGCAAAATCATGCTGTTTATGGCTGCTGTTACAAGGCAACATCCTCTTCGTTTAGGTGAACGCAATATTAGCAGAGCGGATAATAAATATAGATGTGTTGTAGATATCCAACTCACAATTATGTTAACAGCACAAAGCTAGAGATAATCAACAAGTAAACACATCTAAGAAGTGTTTACTTAACATACAGGGAGTGCAGAATTATTAGGCAAATGAGTATTTTGTCCACATCATCCTCTTCATGCATGTTGTCTTGCTCCAAGCTGTATAGGCTCGAAAGCCTACTATTAATTAAGCATATTAGGTGATGTGCATCTCTGTAATGAGAAGGGGTGTGGTCTAATGACATCAACACCCTATATCAGGTGTGCATAATTATTAGGCAACTTCCTGCTCTTACTCCAACTCACACTCCAGCACAGTAGGTGGCGGAAATGCGCCTAGAAGTTAGATGCCACCCGACAATAAACACGAAGAAGAAGTAGGCAACTTCCTTTCCTTTGGCAAAATGGGTCAAAAGAAGGACTTGACAGGCTCAGAAAAGTCAAAAATAGTGAGATATCTTGCAGAGGGATGCAGCAGTCTTAAAATTGCAAAGCTTCTGAAGCGTGATCATCGAACAATCAAGCGTTTCATTCAAAATAGTCAACAGGGTCGCAAGAAGCGTGTGGACAAACCAAGGTGCAAAATAACTGCCCATGAACTGAGAAAAGTCAAGCGTGCAGCTGCCAAGATGCCACTTGCCACCAGTTTGGCCATATTTCAGAGCTGCAACATCACTGGAGTGCCCAAAAGCACAAGGTGTGCAATACTCAGAGACATGGCCAAGGTAAGAAAGGCTGAAAGACGACCACCACTGAACAAGACACACAAGCTGAAACGTCAAGACTGGGCCAAGAAATATCTCAAGACTGATTTTTCTAAGGTTTTATGGACTGATGACATGAGAGTGAGTCTTGATGGGCCAGATGGATGGGCCCGTGGCTGGATTGGTAAAGGGCAGAGAGCTTCAGTCCGACTCAGACACCAGCAAGGTGGAGGTGGAGTACTGGTTTGGGCTGGTATCATCAAAGATGAGTTGTGGGGCCTTTTCGGGTTGAGGATGAAGTCCAGCTCAACTCCCAGTCCTACTGCCAGTTTCTGGAAGA